ATAAAAAGACCAGCTAAATTACAGGAGGCTAATAATGATTTATTGGTCTTCTGCTCTGCTGAGCATCAATGCAGGACAAAGGAAGAATGTGCCAAGTCTGAGTAGTACTTTGGGATCTGGCCACTTCCTAGAGTCAGTCCTTGGGCAAATCAATTTACTTCTGTCTGGCTTCATCCTCCTCAGTGCAAAATGGTGCAAATGCCTAAGACAACATGACCACTGGTGTTCGTTAACATTTGAGGAATGAATGAATGAACGATTCTGTATCTAGGTCTGAACAATCCACACCAAAATTTTCAGCTCTTTCCTTGAATCACAAGGGTAACATTTTTATCAGTAGCTCTTCCAGCTGTCATTAATATCTGCCTGAATTTATAATGTCTAGAAAGAGGAATCTTTTATTATTTGGGAAAATTTGAATTGGCAGAGGGCATGTTTTTTCTTCTTAGACAGTAGCACTTTTACAATCCAGAGATTTATGTAAAAGAAAAGTTGGTCAGTTATTATGGGTGATGCATAAAAACTATTTTTGGTCCATGACTAAAAATGTTTGTCTTTTGAGTCTAAAACAGAACTCTAAGCATGCTCCTTCCTCCTAAGCTCACTCTCCCTCTTTCCCCAATCCAAAGCCATTCCCTTTTCCTGAACCCAGTGGCTGGGAAAGTGGGCAGTATAAAAAGTGACCCTTACTCAGTGATATATTGAGGTTGAGTCCTTCCATTGCCCAATCACCATCCTATTGGTCAGTCTGGATGTGAGGTTGGGATAGGGGGCATGGAAAATGTATGTGAACCTGGTCTCTTATGGTCCCTGAGCACATACATCAGGAAATCTACAAAACAACCCCCACCTGCTCTCAGGAGCTGCCCTCTCTAGTCGCCACTCATCAGGAGGTACCACAAGTACCCAGTGTCCCTTGCTCCCCATCAGGAGAAGACTAGATAACAAAGGTGGCAGTAGACTGTGTTTAGGCTGTTCTTCCTTCCATATTGTTCCTCTCTCTCTCACACCTCCCTAAAGCAAACAGCACACACTGGCAGGTAGTGCACCCCAAAACCACTCTCCTCCCCCATTCACCCTGGAGACAAATCCTCATGTTAACTTACAGGCAGTATTTTGAAGCTTTTGGACAACCCATAGAAATACTATTAACTTCCTGGCTCCAGGGAATCCTATTTCTCCCACTAAAGGAAAAACTTATATATAGAATTAATTTTCCACCTCTTGCCCAACAGTGTTGGAATCATATATGTGTGGCTTTAAAGCTTAATTCACTTACAGGCTCAAATTTCAAACCCTTAACTGTTTAGAACTAGTTCCTCTCCCCATAAGACTATTAACCCAACTATTAAGAATCTAGGTTATTTTTATCATTTCTCTTAGGACTTCAAACCAAACCACTGCTGAAAAATGGAGCAACCTCCACATATGTTTTATGTGTTCAGATAAACACATTTTGAAGGATTCACTCAGAGGAAAATGAAATATTTCTAAAACAGAAGGTAATTTTTTTCTGTTTGCTTTTCTTTCTGAATGACAGGTTTTGTTTTGGAAGACCTCTATGTCTATCAACTAGGCAGTAGTATTTGTGGCCATATTTGTGGCCTGGATGCAGCTGTCTAAACCCTGCGAACAGTTGGAATGGCGATACAGAAATTCTTGGTTGCACAGAAACTGCAGAAATGACAGGGGACTTTCTCATGGCAGCCACTGAAATACTTTGAATCACACTAAACAAAGGCCATTCTGGATGCATGAAAATCAAACCTCTCTCCTCAGCCTTTTGAGAGTAGCTATGTTATGAACTAGATGTCTTTTTAATCAAACCCATTTAAATCATGATGACTCAATTTCATCAGCTTTTTATACAGAAAAGCACATTTTTGTTCTTCTGACATAATTCGATGATGTATCCTTCAAAATTCAAAAGAATATGGATCTTGCTTTTAGAAGATATACTTTGTACTTTCTATGCAGTGATTTATGGAAACCATACTCAGGACTCAAAAATTCTGGAAGATGCAACACACACACACACACACATACATACACACACACACAATTAATATTTCCTTTGTGCCCTTAAGGTTTCTCCCTCCTTTATCTCTGAACTCTTTGCTGGCCCAGATTTCTTCATTCTTAAGAATCATCTATTCATTTGCTTGAAACATTGCACTTTTGGAGAGAAAGCTGAGGAGTGACTATCTTAATTTCCGGGGTGTACAATGAGATTTTTTACTTTGCCACATACCAAGATGGATTTCAGTGGTTCTCATCACCCCTTAATATGGTCACATGTCATTCATTCATGCCTGTGGTCAACATTTTTAGAGGGTCTGCTAGGCTTAGCACAGATAAAGATTCTGACCTGACAAAGCTTAAGTTCAACAGGGAACAGAGCTATGAGGCAGATATTGTACGAATAACTACACAACTTCAACGACGACGACTTTGAAGAAGCACATAGTAATAGGGCGACCACGTTCAGGCTAAGGGGCTGGGGAAATGTCAAGGAAGAGCTCTCTGGACAGGGAAACTCTTTCTCATTACTTACTGGTAAAACTTTTTAGAAGAGGGCACACAAATACATTGTTTCAAACATTATATCAATTCCAAGGGAAGGTGGAGTATGGGAAAGACATCTGGTTAGAACCCTGCTTCAATTGCAAAGCCTCCAGCAACTCATAGTGAGGGACAAGGTTATAATGGGTAAGTGTAACATATACCAAGTACTTAGTTCCATAAACTATAGATATTGAGTAATGTAGAACTGATGCTGATTTACATTTGAGCTTCGCTATGTCAAAATAAAGCTCATTTTCATAGAGTTCTGTCATTACAAAAATGTTCACAATAAGAGGGAACACAAAAATCCATTTAAAAAACAAACACAATGATGTTAGTGATTTTTCTCAATTGGGCTGGCCACCAGGTATCATTTATTATATAACAGAAGCACTCCTATATGAGATTCAAATTGGCAGATACATAAACAGAGACCAAAAAAAAAAAAAATTGGTACATTGTAAAAGAGAGTTGGTACATCGTGCTCAATAGCCTTTTATCAGCATTAGATAAAGATTCTGAATTAGAGCTTTTGAAACAGAGAACGCCCCTAAAATGGTTGGTTAAGTGTTTTTCAGGTCATTAACTGCTTTACTGAGAGGGAGAAGGCAGAGCCCATTAGAGGCAGCTCAAGTTCACTTTTCTTCCCAAGAAACATTTCCCACCCTTTGCCTAGCTTCCCTTATTCTGAGTTCCCTCAGTACTTAGAAATATCCACAGGACAGGGTAAGTCACACTCGTTCCCTCCTTTGCTGGAAACTCATTGCTGCCAGTGTGGCACCAGGAGGTACAGCTGGCGAGACTGCGCCTTCCTGGAGCTCCCACTCCATGGCTGGCTCCATGGCTCCATGGCGCTCTTCAAACTGGCGGCCATTGGCCCTTTTCCCATTTTAGTAGAAGACTCAAGTCAGTAAACAAAAAAATATGTGCATGGTTTGTGCTTCCAAGTTAAAAAGTGAATATTTTTACTTGGACCTGAAAAAGGAACCACTTCCCTGATGAGAAAAATGAGGTTCAGACCTTATTTGCCTAAGGTCTTACAGCAAGTTCACAGAAGTGAAGCAAGGGTTTAACTCCTTCCAATCAGGCCCTCACCCCATTTACTGAGCCCTACTGTTTTCCAGAGTAACCTTCCTGTGGGTGTAGGATTCATTGTGGCTGAGCTGGACAGGGCAGGGCAAGCTGGGCAGCCTTAGTAGCACTAGCTATTTCCTGGACTGTCACTTCCAGGTGCCCCACCCTGCTGTGGGCTTGGGTTATCCCAGGAAGGTCACAGTGCTGACCTCCCATGGGGGAGAGCCTTTGCAATCCCTGACCTCCATGGGCAAAATCTAATTGTACAGCGATTCTGAAAAGGCTTCCTCTGTCTTGTCACGACAAGAGTCTTTCTATTTCCCCAAGTTCCCTCTGGATTGTTTGAGCCGAAAAGTCCATGACTCAAAGTAGAGGATAGGCCACTCTGCAGATGCTGGGAGCCTGCAGGCAGCCAAAGGTCAGGGGTTACTCATGATTATTCTAGAACAATATACTTCCTCATCTTAAAGCTACATTGGCTGCATTCAGAATAGCTGCAGTTCAGGGAGAAGAATATCTCTTGCATTAAAATTCAAAATGAGAAATAACCCCAAATCACTGATGATAAGTGGCAGCCCCTGAGGGTCAGGGAAGAGAGGAATGTAACTCAGAAAGCTGAAAATGATACCCCAGGCCATGTAGCTGGACAGAAAAGGACTCCCCAAGTGGCCACTGAGACCTCTGTCAGGTCAGTCTTTCTAGGGAATCTGAGGAGCCTAGGAGATGAGAGAAGGGCAGGCAGAGATGAGTACACAGTTCATTTACTCATGTTCTCATGAGCTTTCTGAACAGCCCCACCCTCGGCCTGAGCTTCCAGAGCCCCTTCTGTGTAGCTCTATCTGATGGCACCATAATTACAAAGTAATTGTCTGTCACATTCATTTTTGCCTCAACAGAATCCACTATAGTGTTTAACGCTCAGCAGGCACCAAAAACTGTTAAGCGAATGAATGATCTGTTACACAGTGGTCACAATTTAAAGATATAAATAGGGCAGAGGTAAGCAGTAGCTATCTGAGAGTGCAGGAAAAAATGGCCATAATTGGATGAAAGGGAGGTCCCTTAACCAGTCTGAAGAGAAAGTACCCCTATCCCTCATCAGTCCCAGGGGTCATCAGCCACGGGATAGCTGTTCCATTCTATTTTGGGGATGGAGAGATCTAAGTTATAGATAAATATGTTTCCAAAATTAAACAAAGATCTTCTTCCTATTTCATATAACAATTCCATCCTCAACTTCTCAGAAACTTAGGGCCTCAACCGCAACCCCAAGATGAGAGTGAACTTTGTCCTGGGTTGTCACAGGAGATCCTCTCTAACTCACAAAGTATATGTCTTTCGTGTGAAATGTGTCAACTTACTTTTTCCACGTCTAGAGCAGCATCCTGCTTCTTTAAAACACTGTAGAAGGAGGAGAAAAAAAAAAAAACAAATAGTGAGACATCAAAAGAGAACCAAGCATTCTGCTCCTGTAAACCACCCACAAAGCACCACCAGAGAATTTCCATTTACCCACAAATTTTTTCTCATTCACACAATTGTTGCTAAGTCACAGTTGCCACAAACACCTGCTCGAATCTGCAAAGACCTGGCCCTCTACCACCAAAGGAAGACAGCATGAGATTTTAACTTTCTCGAGCAGGGAATACAAGGAAGAAATTCTCGAGTGTGTACACACACATGCCCATGTGCCTTCTTCAGGGTCTCCATGAGTTATCTATGTTGGGCACATTAAAAACAAGTCTTCCAAGGTCTTACTCGACTTACTCTTGACTTAAATCTCTCTCTAGGGGCCCATATATGCCCCACTTCCTGTGGGTGAACCTTACTGTCAAACCAGCCTTCTTGAGACGGCCTCTGTTTTCCATCAGCTGGGGTTCCTTTCTGCCGGAGGTTTGCCAATCCACCAGATTGAACCAATTTATCCATGGAACTTTAGGCCCAGATTACTTAGAACCTTATGACAGTCTCCTGGCAAGGCTGAGCTTATTCTGAGGATACCCATATCCACTTCACGTCATCTTTAAAGTGCCAGGGGCAGGATGTCAGATTTCCAGTTTGTTCATACACTTTGCCTCAATCTGCCGATATTATGATACATCATTTATCATTTGAAATTTTAGCTGTTTCAATAAAGCCTCAGTATCTAAGGGAAATAATATAAATGGTTGAATGGAGTTATGTTGACAACAATATATGAAGGCAAAGTGTGAAGTAGAACCTGAAATTTTTAAAAAGGCAGAAACAATTTATCCTGTTGTAGTTGAGATGCTTAAGTTTCTTTCAGTATGCTTCTCAGCATTTTTCTTCCTGGTCTATGGTTTTAAACACCCCCATTATAAATTATTATCCCCATCAAAAGCAACCCCCCCCCACATACACACACAAGAATTTTTACACTGTTTGAAAAGATGTATAATTAACAGTAACATCTTTGTTTAGTTTAATCAAAGATGACTCAGAATGAAGGAAAGAAAAAGTGACCATGGGGAAGAGAATTAGAAACTCATATATTGTTCTCTGAAGATGGGTATTCAAATCATGAACTTGCTGCAGACAAGCAAGAAACCACTATGGAGGTCGGAGGGAGAGAATGTGCTAATCAGCATGCCTCGATAGCCGTACCTTAGCAACCCACCTCTTCTGGCTTCTGAGACATGCTCTCCTGCACTAACCAAGGAGACACCACAATATATGACCTTTCATCTGGCTAGCTCACTGGGGTGCTAGATGCTGCTGTGCTGTACAAAACAGAAATTCTCTTTGTCCAGAAATTTAATTTGCCTCCCTATAACCAGAGAAAAGCAATTCAGCACTGAGAACTTTTCACCAAAGGGAACATATTTACAGTGGAAGTTTGACTTCCCTTCTTGAACATTCTTATATAGGTTAGGAGAGCTGTTGTGATTTATAGGTCATACCAAGAAGTTTTCTGTTTGCAAAGTGAAAGACTCCTTCATCTGCTTCCGAAAAAACACTTGAAGAATCCTTATCCTTTTCCAGGGTAGAAAAGAAACTTGCATATTGCATATCTTATGCATATCACACAATTGCAGCAACTCAGGATGCCGGAGTCTCAATAGCTCTGAAGAAATGAGCCTTTGCTCCACAGCACTTCAGCAACCGGTATCAGTAGGAAAACTGGAAGTCCATTTGGAGCTGCTGGCTCACTACCACACACCGTCTTATTCTCCACACATGTATATAGCACCATCCAATTTATTTTTCAGGCACATTAAACAGATGGAGTAAACTAACAAAGACAATGTACGCATCATCCTGTAGCCATAAACCGAAAGAGGGACTCCATAGCTTTAACATGAACAACTTTCAAGCAAGACTGCTTGAGATATTTTCAGGCACCAGTTCCATTGTTTCAAGGAGGACAAGAACAGATAAAATGAATTTCCTAAAAGTAAAATTTACATGGCAATCCCATTTGGAATGAATAGTGGCACTGGCTTTTAAAAACCACACATACTGCCAGGTATTATGGCGCACACCTGTAATCCCAGCAGCTCAGGAGGATGAGGCAGGAGGATTCTGAGTTCAAAGGAGGATCGTGAATTCAAAGCCAGCCTCAGTAACTTAGGTCCTGAGCAACTTGGCAAGACCCTGTCTCTAAATAAAATATAAGAATGGACTGGGGATGTTACTCAGTGGTTACACAGCACTGGATTCAATCCCCAGCACCAAACAAACAACAATACCGACAACAACAACAAAAACATACCTTTGTTAAGTAAAAGGTATTTCTGAAAAATTGAGAATAAGTTTTAGCTATCAAATGTTTAAGTGAAATAGATACTTTTTATTTAAATGACTCCTTTTAAAAAATCATTTCTTCAAAAAATTGACCAATTATTCTGATTTATCTATATTCTGAGTCTAAGTTTTATGTTTTATATTTCCAAGCCTGAAGGACAGATAGGCTCCTCCAACTCCCTGTGTGAGCACATTTGTGTAGACAGAGCCACGCATATACAGTTATACAGACATTATAAACAGTTGCCTTCCTATTCAACTCTGGGCTTTGGGACATTAGAGCGTTTTTCATGCTTTTATTTTTCCTGCTAAGCATTTTTCGTGCTTTTATTTTTCCTGCTAATGTTTTATTTGGCAAACAATGAACATAACCCAGATACTAGAGTGAAAAGGCTGATCATAAATGCTACAAATGTTTGATCAACTGCAGGAATTGAAGTCAAAGGATAAGACCCTGACCAAAAGTGAATTAATCCCAACTATTTAGAGCAGATCAACCTCCCACTTTGGAGGAAGATATAAGTTCTCTAAAAATAAAACTGGGAAGTCCTCAACTTTGAAATCTCTTCTGACATAGTTATTCTTCCAGCCTCCTTGCTCTCCTAAATACCCACAGCAGATCGCCCCACATACCTTACAAAAGGATGGCTCAGGCAGAGAGAGCAACCAGATGGTGAAAGGAGCACTGGTCACGTGAATGACAGTGAATGACAACCGACTTGGTAGTACTACAGGACAGAGAGGTGGCTAAGTGCATGGCAGTAGGCTGCAGGGGGAAAGGTAGGAAACTGAGACAGAGGTCAGATTGTGACAGATGTTGTAGGCCAGCTGAGAAGTTGCCAGAGGTAGGAGCAAACTTTTGCATGGTACCTCTGTAATTTCAATCTGTGTGTATTGCAATGAGGAGCAGGAAAAGAGACGCAGCCTCCAGCATATGCCTGGCACGGGCTAAGTGCTGTCATTCCAATCTCACCAACCCTGCTGGGTAAGTATAATTTTCTCCTCATCAACCTTCAGTGCCCAGCTCACAATCATCTTTTCACTGTTTTCCTTGCCCACACTTGTGTACAGAATTAGCTTTCCCCTCTGCTGTGTTCTTCCTATACTTTATGTGGGGCCTGTTTCATTGCCTCCCTGTTAGAACTGCTAGCTCTCCAGAGGCCAGGATGGCCCTAACCACTGTGCCCACAACATGCAGGAGCTGGTGAGGAAGGGGTGACAAGTGAAGTGAGTGAAGGGGTGACAAGGGGCAGTGACAGAGTGGCTAATGAGTCTATATTAAATCAAACGGAGCCCATTCCTTCCTGCACTACGAGGTGGTGTTGCTTGTATTGGATGGGTGGAGACCAAGCATATAAATGCAGAGCCTGACCACATCTCACACACAACATGCCCTTAACCAGAAGATGACCACCTTCTTCAAATTCCATCTTGGGCCTTTAGCTTCAAAATAAGTGACAGAGATCAAATCTGGAATTTTTACTTTAATATTAACCAGCAATTCTTGTTATTTTAAAAATGTGATTGAGAAACTGAAATTCAATACATCATGGTCATAATCACATCTCATACATGAATTCAAGATTTAAATCATTGTTCAGGGTTTTGCTTGATTATTGAAAAAATATGGGAGATGGAAAAAAGTGAGATATGCCTTCCTCTTGCCACAGTATATTCTCTGTTCCAAATTCAACCTCTTCTACTACTTACAAAAGATTTAAAATATTCATTGACCTGCCAAAAAACATCTGCACGTTACTGGACACATCTTCGGTCTTCACATAGTTACATCTGAATGGTTTCTTTCTGCTCCAGGGATCACAGCTCTATTCAATCACAACTGAACCGGGAACCTCAGAACTGTACGTGGTGTGATGTCAGTGGCGAATGAGGATAAAATAGCCATTTGATAGCAATTTCCTTATCAAGCCTGTCAACAGGGACAAGTGTTCCTTCGGTTATTCTTAACTTAGGATCCAAAGCACAAAAAAGACCAGGCAGGGCCAGACGCTACTATAATCCCAAAGAAAGCTGAGACACATACAGAGCATACACAGAAGTTCCTCAATGCTCTCTGGTAAAGGGGAGGCCCCTGGCTCTCTGCCTGAAGCCCAGGAACAGGCCCACTTTCACAGTGGGCTCTCCCAGGCCAGTGCAGCTGCAGACAGGCACGCAGTGTGTGGGACCATCCACGTTCAAGGTCACCACAATTGCCTGTGCACCCCACAGCTGGATCAAGCCCCAGAGACAAGGCCCAGCTCAGACAAGGCTCTTTGTTGTGGGACATTTCTCGTTGCCCTGTTTCCCCAGGAAAAAGGCATTTTCCTCTAGCCATTCATCCTGGCCCCAGACTATCTCGCTCTCCAGAGTCCTCCTGCACACAGAAAACTAACGATGTTAGAGATGGTGGCAACTGCAACCTCTTCTCCTGTCTTGCCCCCCAGGTGAAGCAGTAAGTGCATGTTTCAAACAGCAAGGAAAGCAGGGCAGCAACAAGGCCAGCGCAAGATGATGCCACCCCAGGGGCGTCTTTAGCACACTTCCATTCAGGGGAGAGTCTAGTCTGGTAAAAGACAGCAAAGGTGTAGGGGGATACCCTTGTGTGTCCCACACAGGCAGGGCAGCACAGGGCTCAG